TAATTTTCTGCTGCTTCTGAGAATCTCTGTAGGAACCAAGGGGAAGTAGCTTGCCTTTCACCTCTAAATCTGCACTGCTCTCGTGGGATAAGAGGAGCTGGGGTGCAGAAAAGCACACCTCACCGCTGTGTGACCCATCTTTAAACTGGGAGGATCAGTCCCAGGCTGACTGGGAATGTCAGATGTGTAGACCACACAGTGGGCTTTCAGCCCAGTTCCCAGTTTAGCTGTGTGTGCTGCCTCAGTGTAAATCTCTCCTAGATTTCACTTGGAATTCCTCGCCGCCTTGAAGAGGAGGCATTAATAAAATCCACCAGCATGACTTGCATCGCAAGCTCTCGCCCCAAGAGACCTTCTGCCTGGGTTGTCCTTGCCTCAGTTTCTCTCCCTGTTTAATAGATTGGGCTGTCGCCCACCTGAAAGCTAATCACAGCTTGGAAATTGCTTGGAGATCCTCAGATGGGAGAAGCTGTGGAAGGGCCAAGTTAATTAGAAAGCCTCATTAAATGGTTTAAGGAGCGTGTGGCAGGGCAGTGCTTTGGCAGGGCTGGATCTCTGCTCCCAGGAGGCTGCTCCCACTGTTTGCTTTAGGCACACTCTGAATTGAATTCTATGCCCTGTGGGTTGGTTTTTTTTTTCTGCCCCTCCCCAACCTCTGTTTGCCTCTTTTCTTTTCAGATACTACCAGAGCATGTACGACACTCCAGAGAACATCCGGATGCAATACCCCGAGGGGCTTAGCCCCGACGAGACCTTGGAGTATGTCACGGACACAGCCAAGGTTCCTACTTTTTATTTTCTTTAGTTGCTGTATCGGGGCGGATCGGGATTTGAGTAGGGGCAGATAGCAAGCAGGGTCACGGGGTCAGGGGGTAAAACTGTTTCCGAAAAGGGCGGAAAGAAGGTAGGAGTGCTTTGTGCCATGACAAAAGGCAATAGGCGCTCAAATGCTAGGGCGATGGAAGCGTTTTGATGGACGTGTGGATTCTGGCTTGCTCTCCGTGCTTGTTTTGCTGGATCTGCCTATCTTGATTAACACAGAGCTCTTTTCCTTTGCAGTCCCTGGCAGAAGTTGCCACAGTTGTCGCCCGTGCTCTCTACCGGCTTGCGGGGGGAGCCAACAACACCTCTGCTATTCAAGCAGATCCAAAAACGGTACGAGCAGATGGAATTGAGTCCCTGGCATCTCCGCTGAGCCCTCACGTACTTCCCTTCTGTCTCTGTTTATGTGTGTTTACACAGCATGCTGTCCTGTCTGTCTCTACGAGGGCTTTGTCTCCCCCCTTCTCCCTTTTTCCCCACCACAGCCGAATGAAAAAAACCTTTCCCCCTTCTCTAGTTCCTTGCGTTTCGATCTCAGGGGCAGACATTAAGCTTTCACGAACCCTCTCCAAAACAGAGCTCCTTTATCCTCGTTCCACAAAGCAGGAGAGGAAGCGGAGGTGAGATGGCAGCGTGTGCCACAGGGATCAGCTAAGGAGCTGGAATCAAACCTAATTTTCCCAGCTCGGCCCTGAGTTATATACACTTGTGACATATAGTCTGTCCTTTGCCCTCTTGGCCCCTGTAGTGGGAAACATCCGTCAGCTAAATAATCTCGAGAGGTGTAGCTGTTAAGATGTTATTGTCTTTCCTCATTGTGTAAACCAATTTCCGTCTCTTTCCAGGTCACTCGAATGTTGTACGGGTTTCTGATTAAAATGAACAATTCCTGGTTTCAGTCCATCATTAAACCAGACCTGAAAGAAATTCTGGGTAAGAGCAGCATGGGGAAGAAGAACACGGGGACGGGTTTGACCCGTGTGTTACCTGGCAGCTTTCTAAAGCGCCAGACTAACGTCGTCTGCTTCTGGCCATCTCCCTGCCAATCCCATGTCTCTGCCTGTTCCAGGTGATGTTCCCCAACACTACGTCGCCGTTTCCAGCCCTGTGAACACTACGTACCTTGTGCAGTATGTCCTGGCCAACCTCACGGGCACTGTTGTTAATCTCACCAAGGAAGAGTGCCAGAACCTTCAAAAAACCCCCTACAGCGAGAAGGAGGTCAGTATCCACCCGGGTGGGGCGGCAAGGACAGATCTGCCGTCCAGTTTGTTCATTTCTGCTTTTGAGGAAAGCTACGGTTAGGAAAGATTTCTATTTCTCGTAGTAACACCCGAGAGGACCAGGATAAGGTTCCAGAACAAGGGGATAGTCTGTTTTTTTTGCTAGGAGCTGTTTGCTGTTTCTTACTCTCCTGTTTTCCCTGCAGCCGTACGATTACGCCTGGGTGCAGGGTTCCCTCGACCCTAACTCGACATCACGAGTCCCCTACTGCATTCGGTCGACCGTTCGCCTGAGCAAAGCGCTCTCTCCTGCCTTCGAGCTGAGACAATGGGGGTCCACAGAGTATTCCACGTGGACAGAGAGTCGGTGGAAAGAGATTCGGGCCCGAATATTTCTAGTAGCCAGCAAGGAGCTAGAGGTGAGTTTGTACATAAAATAAAATTTAAAAAAAAAAAAAAAAAGGAGAGAAAAAGACGTGATTAGGTGAAATCCATGGGGCTTTGAGTAACACCTCCTGACAGCTGAAGAAACAGTTTAGAATTTGTTACAAGATCTTGTGCCATCGTCCTGTGTGAGCTCTCCGGTTAAGAACAGCCTTGAAAATGAGGTAACCACCCATCCCTGGTCAGAACCCCGCACCTCCAGCCCTTTGTGGGTTAATAACCTTCTCGATGGGGCTGAGACAAATAATCAGGAGTCCCCTGAGCAGGCTGAACTCTGAATAAAAGCTAGAAGTGACAGCAGGCTTAACCCTTCCCCGAACGCAGGAATCTGGCTGTTACAGTGTTTTGCCCGATGTGCAAACCCCCATCGTCCTTCCTGCGGTTCGAATCCCCTCTGAACGGCGCAGAAATAACTTTTGCACAAACAAAAAGCTGCTGGTGGTTTGATGGTTCAGATTCTGAGCAGTGTGACAGTGGCTGGAGTACCGGCAGAATCAGGGTGAAGCGTGCAGTCACTTGGGGACTCTGTGCCTGTCCCCGTGCCCTCTGGTTGGCCGCTGCTGATGTCACACCTGGTCAGGACAGACCCTGGGGTGCCCGGCCCTGATGTCATCGTGTGCTAGCAATAAGCCACCCAAAGGCCGTGCAAGCCCGGGCAGTTGTTGCATCTCTCGGATGATTATTTGAAATATGAGCGATTTATTTGCGCGGCACTGGGTGTTTTTAGCGCTGTCGGGCGAGAACAACGCCCTGCCTGTGCCTCTTGGCCAGTTACAGCCCAGTAGATAGTTTGAGCCCAGCCATCGCTGCGGTGGTGACCCCGTAGAAAATGTACCCAGAGAGTTACAGCAGCGCAGGAGCGTCTGGCCGCTGCGTGGGGACTTCGGGGAGTCCCGCCATGCGTGGGGAAGGGTTGTCGGTGAGGAATCTGACGAGGCCTTAGTCTGGTCCTTGCACTTGGGCTTCAGGAAGGGTTCTGAGCAGGAGTTAGTTTCTGCAAAGGCCACTGACAGATGTCGACTCTGCCAGCAGCTGGGCTTGTCGAAGGCATTTGCAGCTCCTTGCTGGAGGAGATGACAGTTCACGCAGGAGTAGGCAAAGTGTCACATTAAATGCTCGCTAAAAATCTTTGCAAACGGCGTCCACCGCTCTGAAACATGATCTGTTCTTTATCCATGATACAACTTTTGAACCTTAATCATCTGTTTGTGTGCGCTGTTGATAACCACACTGAAAGCTGACCCCATCCTGGCTGGCAGTTACTTTTGTCCAAGTCTGTAAAGTCCTCAGAGTATATTTTTATTTTAATTTTTTATTTTAACACACGTAGTGCCTCAGGAGTGAGCTGGTCTCTGTAGCTTTCGGACAGAGCCTCCCATTCCATGCAAATTCTGCGAGTTGCTGCCGCTCTGTGTTTGTAACAACCACGCTAAATGTTTCTCATCCCTTCCTAGATCATCACTTTGGTCGTGGGCATCGTCATTCTGATCGTCTCTCTCCTCGCCACCTATTTTATCAACGCCAAAGCCGATGTACTTTTTACCATCCCACGAAACCCCGGGGCTGTGGCTTACTGAAGATGCTCTCAGGGGCTTGAGAAGTCTTAGCCCTTGGATTTACAATTTTCAAAGAGAAAACTACACTGGAACGCCCCTCTCTCCGGATAGGGATGCAAACGGTTCTCTCCGGAGTTTCTCGGGTTCTGAGCCCCAAAACAGAAGAGTCTTGCCCAGAAAGCCATGCCGACCCAGCCCTAAAGAAACCACAACTGAGAAGTTCCCAAAACCTTTTTTAATTTGTCCTTTTGAGCAACGTGAGAGGGTTGGTCCTGAATGCCGCCGAGACAACAATGTGATGGGAGTGTTTCCTAAATAAAGACAAGAGCGGAAAGGGTGAAAGGTATTTTCTCTGGGATGTACGCGGACCAGCAGATTTCCCTGGTGTCTGACGGCACAGCTCGCCTGCTCGTGTCCGACAGTTCCTGCAAATCTGTGTAACACAGGGAGGGCAAGGTGTGTTTAACAGATGATTAGATGTAAAATGTCCTTTTTTCTTTTTTAATGGTGCAATATTTTCTGGGTTTTGTATATATATAAATAGTTCAGTTTAATTAAAAAAAAAAAGCTCCGCTTACAAATTAACCCATTGCCTGGTTTGTCTTAGTTGCTGCCAAAAGGACCAGAAACACCGGGTGCTGGAATATATTTTGGTCTTGGGAGAAACAGGGGTTGTCTGAGTCTTTTCTGTGTTTAAGTCTTTTTTCAACAAGGCTCAAACTCTGGATTTTAAAGTAATTCAGAACTTGTACTTCCAGTGTTACCCCGAGGAAGACTTTTTCCACTTTCTATCAGGAAACTGCTCCTGATACTTCAAATATTTCTGTGCCTGATTTCATTTCTCCTGAGGAAACTCATCTCTCAATTTCCGTGGAGGTATCTTGTCTTGACAATAAGGATTTTTAGAGCTTCTAGGTCCTCATCTCTGGGCTCATTCCAGCTTTGTCAGAACAAAATCAGTTCCCCAAAATTATCCAAGTAGATTATTTCTGTGCCTTAAAGTATTTTGGGTGAGGTGGAGGACCTCAAAAGAGCACATGATCTGGCAGAGAATTTTGTAGAATATATTTTTCCTTCCCTAAGGTAAGTTTATTATTTTTTTTTTTTTTACATATCAAAATGCAAATGCATCATTCATGGTGGAGCAGTGCTGTGTGGAGAGCTGGTGGGACCGGTGATTGCTCATCAGCGAATTGGGTCAATATACACAGGGTTCTTGATCATTTTCAAATTAAAAATCCACAAATTAGTATCATAGAATCATCAAAATTCTGCTCTCCTGTCTTTCCAATCTAGATTCTGCGCTTGGGTTTGGGGTGGGGTGGGTTTTTCTTCTGAAGGCTTCTGGTTGGAATTTTTTTTCCCCCAAACAAACAGAAATAAACCCTTTTTACCACTCCCAGCCCCATTTTCCCTTCCCAGCCTTTTTGTTCAGAGCTGCTTTCTGGCGAGACGACCAAACAGCTGCCTCCGTTATCTGCGCCTACACCGCTTCTCGGATGGCCAACAGGTCTCCCCCGTGGACCGCGCCGCGAGCATCGCGCCGTGAGCATCCCTCCTCGCTGCCTGACAAAGGGAAGGGAGAAGCGAGGGGGCCAGGCTGGCAGGAGACACATTTATCCCTCCTGCTGCCAACGCTGGAGAACACCAAAAGCCTTCCCTCGACTGTGAGCCCAAAATTTACCCCAACCTGGGTCCCTCAAACTCTCTGGGTGCCCGCGGCGGCGCTGCGCAGAGGGGTGAAAGGAGAAGCAGTCGCTGTTGGTGTTTCCAGCCCCTCCCGGTGTGTTTTGCCGTGGTCAGTAAATTCGTTTTGCTCAGCTGGCTGGTGATGATGAGGTTTGCGCCGTGCAGATCCGAGCCATCCCTCCTCTGGGGAATTGGGTCTGAGCGGTGGATGAAGGGGGGTGGGAGAGAAATGGGATTGTGGGATTCGGCTGGGAAGCAAATGAGCTACGAGAGCAGGTCCTAGTCCCTCGGTTTCTCTTTTCTGTCCTTCCCCACACTGGCTGCGGCCAATTCCCATATTTTTTTCTCACCAGTGACATGAACCCTGCTTCTGCCCTGTTTCAGAACGGTGATGGGATGGATGCTCCTGAGACCTCGAGGTGAGAAATGTCAAGGTGTTCTGTTAGAGAAAAGCTAACGGTGGTGAAAGGAGCCGCTTTGTGCATTGGGGAGAATTAAATCTTGTTTTATACAAGACGATGCAAAAAGGTCTGATGTTCCCCTGCATCCCTCTGCGGATCACAAACGGAGCAAGCTGGGAGGAATCGAGATCTCGGTGACCTGTTCAGTCGGTTAGTCTCACTCCTGAGCTTCAAACAAAGAGCCGACGGTGGATTTGGGAGCGCTCGTTCTGCTCCGCCGGGACCAGGAAAGCCTTGGCAGCTTGTGTGTCCAGCGACTAAACCGCTGCCCCTTGGGGATGCGTTGTTCGCTGCTTTAAGCCTGGACTCAGTGTCCTAGCCCCGGAAAGGCTCGGGTTAAAGCCATGCCTTCAGTCTGAGTGCAGTTATCTGCCATAGATGCGTCCCCAGTTTAAAAATGAAACGGGCTGGACCATGTTTTTCTGCCTCCGGAATGGACAGAAGCTGGATTTCCTCGAGGCTGAGCTGTTCCTCCTGCCCATCCTGGTGTAACAGCAGCTGTCCTCAGCTGCACAAACCTTAAAGTTGATAACTCCCCTGATACGCCTTTCCTCCATCACTCCTGAGATTATGTGCATTAATTAGAGCATCCCTAATGCTAATAAGCAACGGGGAATAAATGCCTCCTCGGCACATGAATCATAGAAGGTGGAAAATGCTTTGAGTCTCGGCAGATACGTCGATTTATTTTTATCTTGGCAAAAGAAACAAAATTAGTGAGGTCTGAGTTGCAACTAGGAGTACTTTGAGGTGGGCTGGGGGAGTCGAAGCTGCGCCGGTGCAAAGCCTTCTTGGAGGCAGGCTGATGCGAAGGAGAGAATTCCCCCGTTCAAAGCCCCGGTTGCTTTGATAATTAGAAAAGTTTGCATGGGAAATTACACAAAACATATGGAAAGCAAACAACTTTCCTGCTCCACGTCTGGTTGCCTTTGAAGCAGAGTACTCCTGGCTGCCTCTTGGTCTGGGGAAGGGATGCAGCAAGCACCGCTTGCGTCTGTCGGAACTGGTCCAGGAGGATACTCCAGCTGGGAAACAATTTGCAGGAACGTTCTTAGAGGTACCTCGGTGGTTTTGGGCTTTGATAGATTTCTGGCAAACCTTGCTGCAGGGATCTCAGATCCTCTCCCAGTTGCCAAAGGTCACCATCTCTGACAGCTTCGGTTCAAAAAAAAACCAGTTCAGGTGCTGGGAAAATGCTCTTTTCTGGTTCTTAGACTTTGGCTGGTGGCTCCGAAGCACGGCTACTTGAATTTCCTCCAGGTTGAGGTTAGTTTACATCATTCCTGGTCTAACCAGTTCTTCCTGCTGCTTATAGGAGCTGGACAGCTTTGAGTCCTGTCCAAGCGCTTGGCATCTTTTAGTTCAGCGGGTTGGTTATTCTGCTGGTTTAGAGGGACAGGGGGGGTCTCAGGGCTTTTTCCCCTGCTCAAGCTTGGCATCTTTTAGGCATCGAGTTCAGTGGGTCAGTTATTCTGCTGGTTTAGAGGGACTGGGGGGTCTCAGGGCTTTTTCCCCTGCTCACCATTCAACCAAAGAAATGGAAAAAAAAGAGAAACCGGCTGAGTAGCCAAGGGCAGATTCACCAGAGCCTAGTAGAAGCGAGTTTTGCAACCCTCTGCCAGGGGAAAAAAAAAAAAAAAAAAAAGGGATGCAACTCTTAG